ACAACTCGATGTAGGTCCTTCACGCAAAAAAATTGATTTTGTCATTTGGGAGTTGTAGTTGTTGGGATTTATAGTTCACCTACAATCAAAGAGCATTCTGAACCCCAACAATGATGGAATTGAACCAAACTTGGCACACAGTCCCATGACCAACCAAAATACTGGAAGGGTTTGATGGGCATTGACATTGAGTTTGGGAGTTGTAGTTCACCTACATCCAGAGAGCACTGTGGACTCAAACAATGATGGATCTGGACCAAACTCTACAAGAATACTCAATATGCCCAAATGTGAACACTGGTGGAGTTTGGGGAAAATAGAATCTTGACATTTGGGAGTTGTAGTTGCTGGGATTGTAGTTCACCTACAATCACAGAGCATTCTGAACACCACCAACGATAGAATTGGGCCAAACACAGAACCCCCATGACCACCAAAGTGGGCCACAGCAACGCATGGCAGGGGACGGCTAGTATATATGTTTATGTATATGTATATGTATTTCATGTCAGTGACTTGAGAAATAGCTAGACTCTTCTGGTTTGAGAAAATTGGCCATCTGCAAGGATGTTGCCCAGAGGACGCCCGGATGTGTTACCGTCCTGTGGGAGGCTTCTCTCATATCCCTGCATGGGAAGCTGGTGCTGACAGACAGGAGCTCCCCCCGCTCCCCCGATTGAAACCACTGACCTTTTGGTCAGCAGTCCTACCGGCACAAGGGTTTAACCCATTGTACCATCAGGTAATAATGTAAGAAGAAGAAGCTCCAGCCAAGTACCAACTTATCTGTATCCTATATTTGTAATAATTTAACATAGTTATCACATTGACCTCCAAATTCGAACCACCGAACTTGCAGTCAGCAGTCCTGTCAGCACAAGTGGTTTTACCCATTACACCACTGGGGACTTCATATAATAATAATAATAACAACAACAATATATGATGATGATACAAATAATTATAATTATAATATAATATAATATAATAAATATCATATCATATCATATCATGTGGCCAAACCTGGCCAGGGATGCTCCGCACCTTTGGTTGTTGGCAGAAGGTCTCCATAAGAACATGATGACCAGCAAAATGATGGAGAAGAGGAACCTCCAAAAGGCATCGTCGATCCAAAGTTCCCTCCAGTCCTGGAGAAATAATGCAAAGACGAATATGACCACTCAAATGCATATACAGTTCTCTTGCTACTTCACGGTTCGCTTTTAGCAGATCCGCTGTTTTGCGATTTAAAAAAAATATTAATTTAAAAATATATTGCAGTATTTTCGCTGTTTCGCGGGTTTTTGCCGCCGCCACTCTCTGAGCCACTTTCCCTCCTTAGTCTTCCCTCCAGCCTTGAAGGACCGTTCCTTCCTTCCTTCCACTTTATTTTAAGTTTATAAAGACTTAAAATAGTGCATGACTACTAAAATAATGTATAAATATTAGAATAAATATAGCGTCCATACTTTGCAGTTTTTTACTTATGGCGGGAGGTCCTGGAACGTAACCCCTGCAATAAGTGAAGGAACACTGTACCGGAATTATTATTTTTTTAATCCTTAACCTTGCAAATATATGAAAACATTCCCAAAAATACCCTACTCACAGACTGACACGTTGCAAGCCGGAATGTCTTTGTGGTCCAGATAATAAAGATCACCGATGCTGCGGAGAAAAACAATTGCAAAGACAGTCAGGTCTGACAAATGCAAGAGCCTCCACTTTGGCAGAAAAAACGAAATGCAAAGATACAGAATGGGGGACAATGATGCCTGGCTCGAGAGCAGTACGTGTGAAAAAGATCTTGGAGTCCTCGTGGACAACAAGTTAAACATGAGCCAGGAATGTGAAGTGGCGGCAAAAAAAGCCAATGGGATTTTGGCCTGCATCAAGAGGAGCATAGTGTCTAGATCTAGGGAAGTCATGCTCCCCATGCTCTATTCTGCCTTGGTTAGACCACACCTGGAATATTGTGTCCAATTCTGGGCACCACAACTGAAGAGAGATATTGACAAGCTGGAATGTGTCCAGAGGAGGGCGACTAAAATGATCAAGGGTCTGGAGAACAAGCCCTATGAGGAGCGGCTTAAGGAGCTGGGCATGTTTAGCCTGAAGAAGAGAAGGCTGAGAGGAGACATGATGGCCATGTATAAATATGTGAGAGGAAGCCACAGGGAGGAGGGAGCAAGCTTGTTTTCTGCTTCCCTGGAGACTAGGACGCGAAAAATGGCTTCAAACTACAAGAGGAGATTCCATCTGAACATGAGGAAGAACTTCCTGACTGTGAGAGCCGTTCAGCAGTGGAACTCTCTGCCCAGAGTGTGGTGGAGGCTCCTTCTTTGGAAGCTTTTAAACAGAGGCTGGATGGCTATCTGTCAGGGGTGATTTGAATGCAATATTCCTGCTTCTTGGCAGAATGGGGTTGGACTGGATGGCCCATGAGGTCTCTTCCAACTCTTTGATTCATGTATTGTCGAAGGCTTTCATGGCTGGAATCACTAGGTTGTTGTAGGTTTTTTCGGGCTATATGGCCATGTTCTAGAGGCATTCTCTCCTGACGTTTTACCTGCATCTATGGCAAGCATCCTCAGAGGTAGTGAGGTCTGTTGGAACTAGGAAAATGGGTTTATATATCTGTGGAATGACTGGGGTGGGGCAAAGAGCTCTCTGCTGAAGCTAGGTGTGAATGTTTCAGCTGACCACCTTCATTAGCATTTGAAGGCTTGGCTGAGCCTAGGAAAATGTTCTGTTGAGAGGTGTTAAGATGTGCCTGGTTGTTTCTTTGATTCTATGATTCTAATAGCAAGAGATGAGGTGCTGCTTTTATTAAGAGAGTCAGGTATGTTTTCTGGTTACACTGCAAAAAAAAATCTTACATTTTCATATAATTAAATCTGGAAGCATCAAATACGATGCCACAAATCTTGGGAAACGGAACAAAAACAGCGGCAAAATTTAGGAGATAATGAGTATGGACGAACTAACCTACTGGTTATAATCACATCAAGGAATCCCAAAGAAACGCACAAACTGGGACCTGGTAAAAGACTACTTTAAACAATGGAAAATAGACATTATTGTCTAAAGGTAAAGGTAAAGGTAGTCCCCTGACATTAAGTCCAGTTATGTCTGACTCTGGGGTGTGGTGCTCATCTCCATTTCTAAGCCGAAGAGCCAGCATTGTCCGTAGACACCTCCAAGGTCATGTGGCCGGCATGACTGCCACATTATTATTATTATAGTAAATCACAACTAAAGAAGATACAGAGGGGAAGCAAAGAAGTTTCATTGTATGGAAAACAAAAAATATCAACGACCACCAAATGCTTGATGGAAGTCAACAACTTTATTATTATTATAATTATTATTATAATTATATTTTTCTGATTCCCCCCTTTTTACATCCTCTCTCCCTCCTTCCCCCCTTTTCTATCTCTCTTTTTCCTTCTTATCTATAACAAATATGTTCTCCCACTTTCGATGTAAAAACTATTTTCTTTTCAAAATTTGCAAAACCTTTCAATCAAAATATCTACTAAAAAACAAAACATAGCGGCAATCAGTATGGACTCAGCTAAAGTCTAACTTTTGTGTGGATTGTTCCATAGCAGACTGCAAATACTATAGTTTTACTTGTGTGAAATATAGTTTATAGTTTTTAAACTCTGTATGTCTGTTGTAGGATGTAAGGCTATGTAAGGCTATGCAAGAGTTAAAGGCATAGAGTGATTTACTGCCTAGAGCAGTGTTTCTCAACCTGGGGGTCAGGACCCCTGTGGGGGTCGCGAGGGGGTGTTAGAGGGGTCGTCAAAGACCATCAGAAAACATAGTATTTTCTGTTGATCATGGGGGTTTTGTGTGGACAGTTTGGTCCAATTCTATCGGTGGGGTTCAGAATGCTATTTCATTGTGGGTGAACTATAAATCCCAACAATTACAACTCCCAAATGGCAAGGTCTATTTTTTTTTCCAAACTCTACCTGTGTTCACATTTGGGCATATTGAGTGTTTGTGCCAAGTTTGATCTAGATCCATCATTGCTTGAGTCCACAGTGTTCTCCTGATGTAGGTGAACTACAACTCCAAAAAACCTCAAGGTCAAGGTCCCAATATTTTCTCTTGGTCATGGGAATTCTGTGTGCCCAGTTTGATTCAATTCCATCATTGGTGGAGTTCAGAAGTCTCTTTGATTTTAGGTGAACTATAAATCCCAGCAACTCCAGCATTACCAAATGACAAAATCAATCACCTCCAACTTCACCAGTATTCAAATTTGAGTGTATTGGGTATTTGGTGCAGTGACTGAAAATACATCCTGCATATCAGATATTTAGATTACGATTCATAACAGTAGCAAAATTTCAGTTGTGAAGTAGCAACGAAAATAACATTATGGTTGGGGGTCACCACAACATGACGACCTGTACTAAGGGGTCGCGGCATTAGGAAGGTTGAGAAACACTGGCCTAGAGAGTGAACGGTGAGCTCTTCCTGTTTACGTCACACATTCCAATGACGTGGATTTGAGATAACGGACTACTAGGCGTTCTCTTCCAGCCATGCCGGAGAAGAAGCAAGACGCCTGTGTCTCATATTGTTGTGTATCCATATGTTTAATGTAATTATGATGTTATTGTCTATTGTTCGCATTTTCGGTTGTGTTTTGATTTTCTTTATTGTAATTGTTGCTTGGACCTGGTGTTGTGGCTGAGCTATTTTCTGACTATGAGGATGATGGGATTCAGATTCTGCTGGGATTCAGCTTCCTGGCTCTTTGTCTGTGCCTCAAAACTGTGGGCCTGCTTCTGAGGCTCCCACAGACAGTGCAGTGTCAACACAGCCGTTCTCATTGGAAAGGAATTTTAACGAAGGAGACAGCGAGCAGGTGCCTTTCCACGCTGATACTGAAAGTGTAGATAGTGACTAGACCCGGCAAGCTCGTCTTGATCTCTGGGTCAGGCGGAGTTCTCGTCTGTCCAGCAGACGAGAAGCCAGCT